GTGCGCCCACAATGAGGTAATGTCAGGCGTCGCCTGCTACTGTCCGGCGTTTTCTGGCAGCCCTGGTGTGCGTGTTGATCCTGGCTTGCATGGCGTTGCCCCACGGCAAAGCAGATGCCCTTGCAGCAAATTGGCGACGCAGGGCAGTGGTCTCAAGCACACGTGGTTGTCCCCACGATGTTTTTTTTTGGCATGCACGTCCGGCCAGCTGAAGGTACAGTCGGCACCAATGCGGAATTGGAAGTTCTTGCTTGGCTGGCGGGTTAAGCTGGTTGCGCACGGAACGCTGCAATTGGCATCGCTAGGCGATAGCGACATTTTGGTGATGCCAATAATGATGCCATTTGGCATTTATTGATCCCTTCACAGCTATTTTTGTGCAATCACAATCACTGTGTCAATATGGCATCGCAAGAACGGCATTTTTGCTAACGCATGGTGGAGCATTGTTCAGCGTGCAGTGTGGTAATGGTGTTTTCCGCTGTATGGCATGCACCCTCCTTTAGCTGCGCTTTAACTGCTGGAGATGATGTCTGTGATATCTTCGTCGAGCATTTTCAATGTTGGAAATACCTGAACTGAAATGAACACTGTGTCGCCGTTGTGATCCGCGACAATTGACGACAAGGACAGCTGCTGACTAGAAAGGCACAAGGAAACAAGACTGCAGTTGCGAACGTGGTCGCACACGAACACCAAAATATTACAGTGAAGTGATGTAACATTTGGGAATTGAAACAGAAAAGGAACACCCACCTTCCAGAAAGCTGTGGTACAAGCAAGTGCTGTAGAGCGCTGGGCCTTACACCACGTTTTCTCACAACAGCGTAAGCAGAGTTCGCCGTCACAGCAAATTGCCACTGAGCTTTCCTGGGAATCCAGCCCGATGTGCATACGGTCAGAGACTGCCAGAAACGCGGGCTGCTGTGGCGGGCGTGACGATTTTCTTGTTGTTTCGAATTGCAGGATCTCAGCGCTGAGGTTCAAGGGTCGCTGGCGGCCGCCGGGGGTCCTGGATCTCTGATGACTCGCCACTTGATGGCTGCCGTCGCCGCGGGCGGGGAAGCCGGCATTCAAGCTAGGCTGCATTTCCCTCACATCTTGAGCGTGATGCGCACCAGCGAGGGCGCCTCCAGAGAATTTGGGGAGGTATGTGGTTGCCCGGAAAGTCTCTGGGACGCACGTGCACATAGACTTGCCGATCGGTCCCCGAATCGACTGATTGATTGAATCATTGATTGATTGATTGGTTGGTTCATTGGTTGACTGGTGGGTTTGTGCATGGGTGGGTGGGCGGATGGATGAACGGATTGAAGGTGTCGTTCAATGTTTTATCCTTGCTGGGAGGCAAGACTGACGGCGCTCTGCACAGAGTGAATTTGCAAAGCCGTCCCCCTCACTCACCTTCACTGATTCCTCTACCTCACCCTACATTAGTTTCACCTCTTGTTGGCGGAGGGCCAACCGCCAAAGCTCAACTCTTCAAATTTTGACCCGTGCAAATTCGCAAATCAAACCAGCTCCCAACTAGCATGTCGCCGCTTGGAAGAGCAACGTGTAAATATGCAGTCCGCCTGGAATGTGCCACTAAGGTGGAAGCACGCAAAACAGGCAGCACTTCTTTGGCAAAAAAGTACAAGAACTAGTAGTTTATTTCAGTATTGCGTCAAATTCTCCGAAAAGGGTGGAATATAGCATACGACGATATTGGTGGTATCATATACATAAGTTGTATGCCTGCGTTGTTGCTTGCATTGTTATACTACATTCACTAGGAAAAAAAGGGCCAAATAACACTTTTCCGAACACACACAAAACACATTTCATCATAGTTTTACACGCTAAGAACACAAAAATAACACAAACCCGTAAACTTTGTACACGTTTGAACACGTGTTATTTGGCCCTTTTTTTCCTAGTGATTGCTGTGCTGCATTGCGAGTCATTGCATGGCGCATTGGACGCTCTGCATTATGTGCTGTGTGTCACCACATGTGTTTCTGCACGCGTTGCTGCTGCAGCATGTATCACCAACAATGTCACCGTCGACAACTTTTCACTTTGCTCAGGCTTGGCGCCACGTTCCCTTGGCTTCGTTCTTGCCCTGGGCGCCGCAGATGCTGGCCCACGTCGAGGCTCCATGCGGCCCGTCCGTCGTCGACTGCCTGGCGGCCCTCTCCCAGCGCTTCCCGCAGCAGGTGTACTTTCCCTTTCAGTTGAGCAGGAGGCACTTCAAGGCGGAGGGGCACCGGAGGACGCAGAGGCTGCAGGAGATCCTGGACATCCCACTGCTCAAGGTAGTGGCAGTACATAAGTGAAAAATCGGCCAAAATACACCGCTTCGAGCCGTGTAAAAAGGTGTCAAAACGTGCAAAACATCATTCAAACTCACTCAATCGTTACTATACGGTTTGGCCCGTTTTTTAATGCGGTAAATACACGAGTTAAAATGACTTTACACGATTTTCAATCGTGCTACACGGCACATGATTTTCAAAACCGTGTATTTTGGCCTGTCTTTTCCTAGTGGTAGACCCGTTTCAGGAAGGAAAGTGGTACAAGAATCAGTACTTCAGAGTGCTTCCTACTGCCACTTTTCAACGAAAGCGTGCACTGCTCGGTGTGTGCTCTAAATTCCTGTGTTTAAATTTGCCGTCGCATCTTGCGGGTGGTGACGGGATGTGTCGCCCAAAGGGCTGCTGTGTGTCTGCATGTGAATATACACAATAAAATGGTGCACAACTGTGCTTTTAATTCATTTATTTGTTGGAGTATTAGCATACTTCTTAAATAGATTATCTGTGAGCACGGTTTGGTGACTTAGACACTTCTTGGGGTAAGCAGCTACAAACCGCAAGTACTGAGTTGTAAGTCATTTGTTCGGATCAGGCTTGGTTTTTACGCCGTAAAAACTGATCGTATTTACGTTTTTACGCGTAAAAATGCGTAAAAATACGTAAATACAACGTAAAAGTTGCCTGGTGTACATAAGGACAGTACATATACATTTACAGAGTCCGGAGAGTGGCAGCCAGACGCCTTGGAAGAGGCAGAAAACGAGTGTTTCCTAAACGCCATTATCGCCCTTGCCACAGGCGAGGTGGACATTGTGCTCCGGGTGATGGAGATGGCGGAGGACTGATCATTGTATGCAACTTTCATTGTGTAAACTACGTGTGCCAGGGAGCCGTAAAAACGTAAAAATAGCCGTAAAAATAGGCCCTTTTGCAAATTTACGTTTTTACGCATAAAAACGTAAAAGTAAAAACGTAAACGTAAACGTAAAAACCAAGCCTGGTTCGGATAACCCAGAAGAGTGTTGTCAACACCGTCCTGCAAACCCGTCAGCCGCAGCCCTAAGACTGCCGCGTTTGCATGACATGATATTGAGGGCTAAATACCTCAAGATCTTTACCAAGAAAAGCGTTGGTGATTCGCGAACTCCAAATTCAAGAAAAGAAACCCGAAATTTCGAGGATGCATGATGCAAACTTCACACAACGCTTTTGGGCATCGGGGCTGCGATTCATCGCTGCGTACATGTGATATTGGTTGCGTGTTTAGTGTGTTTGTCAAGCAGCGGGCCTACTTGAACGGTTGCACTTCACTCGCTTCGTGGCTTGCTATTACCACATCTAAACTAAGTAGGCTGTGTTCAATTTCAAAGCCCCATTTACTAGTGAGCAGCAGTTGAGTAGCGAATGAACTCAGCACCGTTGTATCTGCACGAGCCAGCAAGGCAGTGACCTATCGTGACCATGGCCATGCCGCACAAATTGTCTTATTTCACAAGTCTCCAAGATTTCCCAAACGCACTCCTTCATCATCATGTGCCACCCCTTGTGGCATCAGCCCCCAGCAACCGCATTTTTACCACAAACATTCTCCTGCTTAAGCAAAGGATATCTGTGGTAACCAATGTGTACATCATTTAAGCGTCGACTGTTAATTTTAATCAAAAAACTCAAAGTCTGGTTTTTGTCGTAAGTTGTCCATTGCCTGTTTGAAATACCATAGAATAATCAACCCTTTCGCATCAAAATTTTTTGCCATTACGCTTTTTGCTCCGCATTTTTTTCAGAGCGTTATTTTTATACGCTGCTCCACCAAAATTTATTTAAGGAGCGATGTTTCTTTTATTGGATTCTCCGCAAAGGTGGCACAGTGCCACGTTGCTGTGCCGAAGGGATGAAAATGCTACGGTAAATTTGCCCTCACCTTATTGTTGTGTGGGATCAGGGCTTCGCAAATGCCCTGGACAAGCTCACGTACCCGGTGCAGCGGTGGGCCGGCCACGAGGCCGTCATCGCCAGGGAGCTGCGGCTGGGCAACCGCAAGGAGGCCGTGCGCGTGTACAACGAAGTGGCGTTTCCGGACCTCTTTGGCGAGAGCACGGAACCCATGGGATGCACCCGGGTGGCGCAGAGCAACGTGAATGTCAAGTGAGTGCATGAGTTCGCTGTGGACATCGCACTGGCTCTGGGCCCAAATATGGACAGCTGCTTGGCAATTTCTAATTGCTGTAGCGCGGAATGATTCTGCAAGGGCACAACGCTGGCGAACCATATTTATATTCGCTTCATTCTAGATTATGCCGCAGTGCTGATGTGTCGACGACTCCCGTGGTCCACAGCTGCCGGTGCTGAAAATCAGGTAATGCACAACTGATGCCAACTGCCGAGTATTGATACTGTCGCTACCATTGTTGTGTGGACAAGCAGTTGAGTATGGCTTAGTATTCACTATCTATGAGTTCTTTCCTTACAAACTGTCATGATCTCGAGGTAGCCAAACAAGCCCGTTGGCACCAAACTGCAAAGTTACTGCGCAAGCGCACCACAGCTCCGGCTCTTCCACCACCGGCTCCAAAGCTCCCAAACTAAACTATCCCAACGTATCAGCTCTAAGCCTAAACTACCCTAATATGCCCAAGGTTCGCGCATGAGGCCAGGCCAAAGTTCGTGGCCGCCTTCGGAGCCTCCGGTGCCGCCCTGGCCTCCATGGACGCCTCCTCCTTCCAGCGCGCCTCCCGCGACCTGCTCAAGACCCACAAGGAGGCTCTGAGGGCCCAGAGGGGCCAGGTGGAGCTCATGCGCTTCACGGACTGGTTCTCTAAATTCTCAAACTCGCCGGGAATGAGCAGTAGGGAGCGGCTGCTGCTGCCGGGCACGCCGGCCATCGACGGTGGGGAGGGGACCGTGGCAGTCGTGGGGTTCGGACAGACGGTGGATGTATTCATGTCGAAGCAGAGGCCGAAGAAGCTGCTGGTGTACGGGGACGACTTTGGCGCGCACGTGTTCCTGGTGAAGGTGGGCTCAAAACCTTGAATTGCGTTTGTCGAACAAACTGGGCGATACACAGCCCTAGCCTAGCACCAAGCAAGTGTTTTGTTATGTCTAAGTTGATCTTTTTCCACTCCAGGTTAAGGTGGGCGCAGAGAGCTGTTCGAATGGATGGCTGTAAGGCGTCCAGGCTAATTAAGTGGCCGTTCAATCGATTTGTTGACTGCTTGATCGATTGATCGATCAAGTGATCAATCGATCTGTTGATCTGTATCAGTTGACCCGTTGATATTAAATCAATTGATGAATTGATTGACTGGTTGAAGTGCGGCGTCTCTCACATTCTATAGTGTCGCCGGGCTGTGGCACGAAACGGCCGCGTACTTGCGCAAGTGTTGTTTCAGCACCAGCTTGCCGTGTGCTCACAAGGATGAGTGTCGAGGCAGAGGTGCCAAATGGAGCAGGCAACGCACAGCTCCCATCGAACGCGGGCATGCGCTCCTTGTCATGGTGATTTTGTGATCGCTGTCTTTGACGGACGAGGGCTAAAACTGGTGTGAAATAGAGATTATCAGGGTAGCCCCCCATGAAAAGCTCCTGGCGGAGGACGGCTATGAAAATCCCCATCCGCACCAGGCGTGAACGCCAACTGATGCCAGTTGAAAAATCCTATTCACGAAATTGACGCCCTCAAATTCGTCGGTATTTTGGATGGGGCGCATTGAGCCACCCGGCTAATTGAAAATGTGGCATGAACCGTTTAATGTGATTCAATACTTGAAGTGTAAACACGGTGCGCACTGCTCTGAAAGGCGACCAAACAGTGAAACGGCAAACGGCCCTTCTCCACCGTGTTTCAACAGATTTTCGGGCTTTTAACAGTCAACATTTTTTGGGGATATGCTATGCAAGACTCAGTATCTACCGCTGCCTTGTTGTACCGCGCTACCTGAAGGTTGTGATTCCGAGCTCATCGCCCCAAACTATTGCAATTAGTTAGACAGAATTTGCAAGACCTTACTAAGGACAACCCCCCTTTCAGAATAGTGATACAGCGCAGCACAATATTCCAGACTTTTATCATTTTCCTGGAAATGATATCATCAATATCAAGGTCGTAACTTCCCTTGCAAGGCGACGACGGACATGGCCCCGTCCACGCACCCCGTTCCCCTCAACCGAACGTCAGACTCTACTAAACTAAACATTCGACCTCATTCGACCTAGAAATTCAGCACAACATCGACCTCAACTAAGCATTAGGCCTCAGTGGACCTAAACCAAACAGTCAACGCGACATTCGACCTAAGCTAAACATTCGACCTAAACTAAACCTTCGAACTTTCAGGGAGGAGAGGAGCTCCGCACGGACCAGCGCGTGGAGCAGCTCTTCGCCGTCATGAACGGCCTGCTGGACCGGCACCCGCCCTCTGCGTCACGCGGCCTGCGCATACGCACCTATGACGTCATCCCCATGTCCCCCTCCCTGGGCCTCGTGGCCTTCGTGCCGGGCACCCGGCCCCTGGAGAGCGTGCTCGACGGCCCAATATCGCACACGGCGTATCGATACGCCCTCGAGCGATACCAGCACTTTGTCGAGGGCTTGGGAGGGCCCGTGGGCGTGTTGGGCAAGGGCAGCCGCCAGCAAATTGGTGACAACTTCAACAAGTGCCAGTCCCTGGTGCCCTGGGACGGTCTGCGGGAGGCGCTGCTGAGATACGCTGGTGAGTTGGCGATGCTCGATGACTGATTGTGTGTGGGCGGGTGCCTTTGCACAAAGTCCTGGGAAGAAACAGGCCAAGCACTAGTAGAAAGCAGGCAATATATTAGTTAAAACCGGGCCACGTACTTGTTGAAAAGAGGCAAAGTACAGCAAAAACAGGCCAAAACACCATGTAACAGATTGGAAATCGTGTAGAAATCGTTTTAAATCTTGTTGAATCGTATGAAATCGTGTGTTTTCGTATAAAAATGGGATGAAACCGTGCGGTGACGATAAATTTGAGTGTACATGAATTTTTACACAGTCTTGCACGATGTTTACACGGCTCGACATCGTGCATTTTGGTCGATTGTTTTGGCCACTTCAATGTGCACTGGAACTCTCCATATACTCAAGCATATTCTCAAATGTGTGCTCCAGTATATTCTCAACTGCAGACTCAAGCACGCTGTCTGATACATTCAAGTGCGTGTGCGCGGGCGCCTTTGCAGTGATACAGGGATACCACTCCAATACCAGTCAACTGTGCAGTCGAATTCTCAAGTATACTCAAACGTATATTCAAAAATGTGCAAAATAAAAAAATATACGAAATATGTATTTGGGTGGCACGAAACAGTGCCGTGAAGTGCTGAGTCTTGAGTCATTTTGCCAAAACAGTGCTCGCGGCTGTGCTTTTGGATGAGTGTGCTGTGCTGTTGTATATTCAGCCCTTGCGTATCTAAAAGTTTTACGCTTTTTGTTGAGCGTGGAGAGCTGATTTTTTCGGCATTGCTTCCCAAAAATTTTATTGAAGAGAGCGTTATTTGTAATTGTATTCTCTGCAGAAAAAGGCTAAGCTTTACATTGCTATGCGGAAGGGTTGATTATACTACGGTAGATTGCCGGGAGTGGAACATTCTCGAATACTGTGCTGCGGGCAGGCACTCGGCGAGTCAATTGTGCGGAAACTTTGCGCATTGTTTTCCTGGTGCCGGCCGGAGCGCTCGCGTCTTCCGAAGTGCGACTGTGGTGTCGGCGTCGCTTTCAACAATCCATTTGTCGCCCGCATTGCTGTTTGGTAATTCGCCACACTACGTTTGAGTTAATTACAAAGCGGCATCTTCGTCCACTGCTGGCAACGGCCAGGATGCTCGCAACACAAAAGGGCCCTAATTCGCAATTAAGCAAAGCGAGACAACGATAAAAGCGGCGAGCTTGTGCTGTGTGATATGTTCCTCCACAGGCGTGAGCCGCGCGTTCGCTCCCTTTGATGTCAATCGCATCCCACAAATGGGGCCAGCACTGCGCACCTTGAACCAATTAGTTTACTAATGTTGAACTAATTAGTTCTGATATAAAAGGGCAGAACACGGTGGAAAATCAAAAGAGAGCGCAGTGCGTGTGTGCAATATCATGAGTACAGAATGTGGAGAAAGAAAGGAAAGCTCGGACACAGCCACGAGTATGCATTCTCTGGAAAACCGCACGATCCATGTCAATTACGCCATAAATTGTCAAGTTTTATCTTCAATAAAATATCAGCGAGACAACTAGTTCCACAAATACGATCAGTTTCAATTGCAGAGTCAGTATATCAATAACATCAGTATGATCAGTGTAAATTGCACGACCACCATATCAATTCACGTCACCGATTGTCATTACGATAATGACAACGATAATCGTCAACGCTATCAGCTCACTGTGATAGCCAATATCATGCTACCAGCAATCATTATGATGATGATTATCAATATTCACAATGACAACAGTTATCAATAACAATTAACGTTTTCAACGTCTCAATTAATGTCGTCAGTGTCGTAATATCAGCACCAGTTACGTGATGACTGCGTCACTCCGTGCGGCTTCGTTCCAGGTTCCGGCGAGGTGTTCCTGCGCAGGCGCGAGTTGTACATTCGCTCCCTCGTCGTCAACTGCATCCTGGGCTACATAGCCGGCGTCGGCGACCGCCACCTGCAGAACTTCCTGCTGGAGGAGGAGACCGGCCAGCTGGTGCCCATTGACTTTGGGTACTCGTTCGGCACGGCCACGCAGGTGAGGGACTAGCGTGCCGTTGGTACGACCCCACGGTATATACACCATGAATGGTGTTTTGTGTCGTTGGATCATCTTTCGCGTCGGAGGCTCTATGTCATCTTTTTCACAGCATGCAAAAGAGCCTGGCGCACACTTACCTCGGAGGGAGTGCCCTTTGCACGACCCGTTTCTCTGTCTGTTTTGTAACAAATATTAGCGTACATGGTATGCGGTGTGTTGTATAACATGTCCTGCATGTACTGTGTATATTGTATGCACAACATACGGCATGTTGTATGTGACACGCATCTGTATTTCGTGTACTAGAGGATGTGTATCATATTCAGCTTTAGATTAGCGTTTGTGAATATGGGACACTCTGCTGGGAAGTGGTGGCAGTGGGACCAGTACTTCGTTGTATTTTCTTATGCGGCTGTGCCCGAAAAGATGCTGTCTAGTACCGTAATGGTACTGGTGCAGCGAGACTTTTCGTAAACGCGAATAGCAAACCTGGGGCACCTTGGTGTCAACATCGCTTGTGCAGTGAGGAGCACCTGTATCATGGCTGTAGAACAACAACAGCTACATGACTGTTCTGTGGACACGCCTAATGTGTCGATATGGTACTGATTCAATTGCTTATGCTGTGCTAGTGTTGGTAAATTGTCGCGCTGTCGACAACCTGCCTTGTGAGGGCTGTGGTGTTCCGGGCGTCCATTTTCTCTCAGTGCTGCCAAAAATGCCGTTTGCGTTCGAGCAGTTGACCATTGGGCGCCATACCGTTCAGGCATGCATTTGCACCCACGTAGTTTTGGCAGTACTCCAATCTGCGTTTTCAGTTGTTCATGATGAAATGAGCGCACGGGTGAATATATTTGATGAAGAGTGGACAATATATAAAGCGTAGCACATAATATATAATAGATACATGCTAGATGCACGCTACATATTGTAATAGATTGTATCATAATAGATCAATTATAATAGACTCATATGAATAAGCGGTGGCGGATCCCAGAGGTCCACTGGACCTCCAACGCACCTCCAGAAACCTCCTTGGAGACAAGCAGTGAATGCTCAGCAATTTATAGTACATTTTCTTGCACCTGAGACAAAAAGTTCGTTTGTGCGTCCAGGTCCTCCACGTGCCGGAATTGATGCCGTTTCGTTTGACCCGTCAACTGCTTGGCGTCATGTTGCCCCACAAGGGGCACAGCATCCTCAGGGGCCCCATGCGGGACGCCATGGAGGCTGTCCACAGCGGGAGGCAGGTGTGGCTTGAGACCAGTCCCAAAGTACTGGCAATGCATGCATGGGTACATCGGCTATTCGGGATTTAATTGGCAGGTTTCGCAAGTAAAACATTGGCCAAAATACACGGTTTCGAACATGGCAAGATCGTGTCAAACCGTGTCAAAAGTTTGAAAATACGTGTACATTCACTCGATCCTTGCTACACGGGTTAGTCCCATTTTATGCAATAGGAACACGATAAGTATACGATTCAACACGAATTTTGCACGATTTTCAATCGTTGTGCATGGTACACGATTGTCAAGACCGTGTGTTTTTGCCTCTTTTTTTACTGCTGTTTTTTTGGCCGTTTCAACTGATTTGATTTATTGTAAATGAATGAATTCAGGCGCAGTTTTTATGCCGGAAAAACTGATCGTATTTACGTTTTTGCGCGTAAAAACCAAGCCTGAGTGAATTGATTTGGTTTGTTTTGTTGATTTGATTCGACTGCCATTGGCCTTTGTGCCCGTGCAGATAGTCCAGGGCGTCGTGGGCGCCTTCCTTCAAGAGCCCCTACTCGACTGGCAGAAGGAATCGCACGCGCTGGCGCAGGCGCGGGGCGAGCTTCAGATGGCCGGGGACGTCCTGGGCCACGAGGAGGGCCACGCGCAGCTCAAGGTGGGCCAACACCCTTTCAGAAAGGAGCGCTGCAACCAAATAACACTAAATACTGAATGCCACCGTCTAAATTGCGAAATTTCTGCAGAGCGCTTTAAAGCAAGAAAATTCTACATTCTGAGTAAGAAAGTGCTGCAAAACGCAATGAAGCGCTGTTTTTCACGAAAAATGTTTGCGCTCGGGTGGAACACGGCGTCTAGGGAACTGGGACCAAATTTAGTTAGTATGTGCTTTATAAAGCACGTAGTTACATAGTGACGATCGACGTAACTACGCGAATTCTCAATGAAAGGTGACATTACGGAGCTGTTTAAATGCTGGCTCTTGATGTTCGATTAAATGCAGAGTCGCATGGATGCCGGGATATCCCGGCTGTTGGTCGAAAATGTGGTGCGAGTGTTAAACATTCAAATGCCGCATTCCAAGTTGACCGTCGGCTGTGCAATTCTTTCATCACCGCCTTTCACTTTTACATAGCAGGGCAATGGGGCAGCCGTCAGCCTCGCGTTTTGCGTGAACAAAGCAGCGTCAATCATCATTTCCATCATCATTCATTTTTATGTAATAGCGCAGTGTCTATGGCCAGTTCATTGGAATCTAACGCTCAACACAAACATGTGGAATTCCTCCAAGGTGGACACCGTGAAATGGAAGCTGAACCGCCACCACCCCTCCTGGGTGACCCTTCGGGAGCTCCAGGCCCGCCACTCCCACAGGCCCCACTGGGGCCACCTGCAGGCCATCGTCACCGGCGACGCCTCGGTCAACGCCCGCGCCAAACTGACCCACGGGCAGCTGGCCTCGCTCGAGGAGCAGGTGGACTGCCTGCTGGACCAGGCCACGGATGTCAACATCTTAGGGAGGTCCTACATGGGGTGGCGGCCCTGGATTTAGGGGAAGCCCGAGGACGGTGTGGGGCGCTTTGCAGCACTGACGTGTACTGCTGGCATGTACTGGAGGCATGTACTGCTGGCATGTACTGGAGGCACGTGCTGCAGGCATGTACTGCTGGAGTAGCAGCGCATATATTGCTGGTCTACAATTGCTGGTGGTGCGAGGGCCCTGGATTTAGGGGAGGCTCGAGGCACGGTGTGGAGCGCTTTGAAGCACTGGCGTGTACTCCTGACGTGTACTGCAAACACGTATTGCGGGCATGTACTGCAGACATGTACTGCCGGCTAGCAGCGTATATATTGATGGTCTCGTTTTGCTGGTGGTGCGAGGGCCATGGATTCAGGGGAGGCCCGAGGCACAGTTTGGAGTACTTTGCAGATTTGGGTTGGCAGGAATGCATCTGTGTGCTGGCGGCATGTGCTGCTGCCGTGTGTTGCAGGTATGCACGGCTGGCATGTACTGCACAGATGTACTGCTGGCATGGTAGTTCATAACCTGCTGGTCACGGTATGTGGTTGGTGTGAGGTCGTAGATGGGGTGGCTGCCCTGGCTTTAGGGGAGGCCCAACGCACAGTTCGGAGTCCTTTGCAGTTTTGAGTTGGCGCATGAGCCTTTGTGTGCTGTGCATAGCACAGACGCGTACAGATGTGCGTGGATGTGTACACGCACGTGCGCGTGCTGCTGGCACAGCAGCACATGCATTGCTGGTCCGGTGTGCTGGCGGTGTAGCATGTACAGTTGACAGGAATGTGGTGGGGGGCGTGGATGGTACATTTGCAGTACAGCGGGCTGTGCATTTGGCCAGCACAGGCCTTGCTTCGGAGACTTGTTGTTATGCTGGACCGCTGGTGACCATCGGAGCCGGCAAGACAGCGCTGATACATAATGAAACGGCGCTGTCTGATCGACAAATGATTCTGCTGATGTGAAGTTTGCAGGGTTTTGGCATGGGTCTGGAGCCTGGGGACTGGGATCACATGAAGTGGACGATTTGATAGCAGGGGCAGGACGGCGGTATGGGGGCATGACGCTCAATCCGATCTTGGCCCGGGTTGCCCCTTTGGGACCAAGCATTTGAGTCAACAGGCCCGAGGCGCGAAGTTCATGTGTGTCCAGCGCCTGGCAAGGCGCCCATGTGGAAATGGCGTGATCAATCTGGGCGCGGTCTTGTGGTTGACTGTCAGGGATCGACGACAACATGTCCATAAACTCAACAGACACAATTTGGGCGCCGACAGGGGGTTTCCGCCTTTTTTGTAAACGTGTGAGAGTGTTTCTTAGGGCCCGGGTCTTGCCCACACTGGAAGGGACAACGAGCAAGTTGGATTTCGCGTGCTGCGCGTCATTTGCCTGAAAGGCGTTAAGAATTCAGCGAGTCAGCAGCTTCGCAGAGGGTTCCGGCAGAAGGCCTGAAGATGCACGCAAACGAGAATTTCGACTTGACAAAGAGCCGCCACACAGGTCCCTTGTGTTGGACAGTTGCCGAGCCAGCACGTTGTCGACAGAGCAAGAAGCTGCGCAATCGTGGAATCCACCCCAACTTTTCTTCACCCCCTTCCGCCAACCCAACGAACGCTGTTCTGGCACATTTGGTGACAGACTGCGTCTGCCCATCAGAGTCTGTCATCCAGTTTTGGTGCTCTGTGAGGGCGCCGAGGCTCCCCTCCCTTTCCCTGGAAGATTCCAGGTATTTGATACAATCCGTATTTGACTTATTTGATCGATTTCGCTCAAATTACAGGTTCCACCTCGTTGCTTGAGAGTTCACAAGTCCTCGCGAAATTCAACAGGCCAGAAATATGTTCTGAACCCCCCCCACCCCCACCCCCCCACCCCACCCATACATCAGTCATCATCGACGTCATGAATGTTCACATAACAGGGCAAGGTGGTAGCCGTCAGCTTCTTATTTTCCCGGGCAAAGCAGCGCGTTTTGCTCATTGTGATCTAATGTACAATGCAAACCAAGTCCAGAATCGACCGATTTCCAATCGCATCAGCCAAAATGGTATTCACAAGACGTCAAATCAAACGGTGTCCTGATCCACTCTGAATTACTGAAGTGATATGGTTTGATTCGAAAACCAACTGACCAGGCGCCCACGCACACGTGATGTGCCACGGCTGAAGGCAGCGAGGCTACAACGGAGTCCAGCGAATCGGTATAATGGGCCTGTTCCCACCGGCATTTACTAGTTCTGTGTCCCTAAACCTGCCTCCCTCTATGCATCCGCCCTTTGACCGGTGTTCGCCCGCGCTTCGCTTACAAGGTGCGAGGGATCCGCCTTGTCCACGCAGACCACTGCACACAGCCGCTGTTGCAGCTGCCGACAGCAGCAGTTCTTTGAGCATTGCTGATTCAGTTACACGGAAAAACAAATTGGCCACGCTCTTTTCAAACTTTTCGAGCTCTCATTTCAATGGAAAGGGCACAGGCACACACTGTACGTAGGGCGCTCTATCTCGCGCCACTCTTTCCCAAAGTGGGCTCTGTGAGTCGCAAAGTCCGCAAAAAGCTGATCGGAAACATTTCAGCCCTTCGCCGCCAATTTCTGACAGCAGCACCCCTTTCAGTATCCTTGAGACACTCTTTCGATGAAAATGGCACAAGCAAACACTGAGCGGATAGTACCAATGCTCACGCCACTTTTCCCAAAGTGTGCGCTGTAAGTAAAAGAATCCCCGCAAAAATTGAGAGCAAAACATGTAGCAGAAATATTTCAGCCGTTCGCCGCCATTTTCTGCCTGGACACCAGCCTGAACTTCACCGCCTTGTCGCCCTTCACCTTGCCCTCGCCCTCCAGAAACACGCACCCCGCACGGAACCCTCCAGCAACAACTCCCAGCCTCCCGTCGAGCTCGTGCTTGTCAGTGGCGTCTGCCGGCAGCCCTATGTAGTCCTTGGTCCACTTGCAGGTGGCGGTGGCCAAGTCGAGAGTGCCCGCCACAGCGTAGTCGCCCACCGCGTCATGCCCAAAGCCGATCACCTTCTCGCCCTCGAACACGAACCGGTTCCACATGGGGACCGATTCGGTGCCGGATTCAGTCGACTTGGTGCTCGATTTGGCAGATGTGTCGCTGGAGTCCGGTAATTCGGTGCGATGTTCGTCGGGCAGGCGCTCCCAAGCGCCATCCCAGGCGCCGTTCGGGACCGCGGTGACGTCGGTCGGCTCAGCAGGGGTTCCGCTCTGCACGACATGATTAATTTTGCATCGGCCGTTGTCACCAATGAAATTGGTCAAAAAATAAACATTTTCAGACCAATTAAATGTGTTTTTCGAGAAATCTACGTAAACGATATAAGCATCGTCGTCGTCGTGGTCACGAATTTTTACGTAACAAGGCAAGCAAGTGGCCGCCAGCTTTGCGTTTGCCCGAGCAAAGCAGCGTCCACGATTCATTAAATTTCATGCACAATGCAAACAAGCCAGGATCCATTGCTTCCCAAAACGGGACTAGAAATGACGACAATGACCATCATCATTTCGTTCATTCGCGAATATCGTGGCAACGCTGAATTGCGGCCAAAACAGATTTTGACAAGCCTTGGAAAAAATAGCCGCAGGCAGCTGAGCAGCAGTCAATCCTGCCCGCAAGTCTCGCCACACCACTTTGCACATTGATTTTATCCGGTCAGTATAGAACAAAACGCACACGATTTTTATCCAATCAATAAGTAAATAAAAGGGGTGTGTCACTCAGATCCAATGGGCATGCATGTGGTCCGGACCAGTGCGCTCGTGGGAGTTTCCTCAAGAAGCTGCCAGCTCTGTTCGTTCACCATAGCACGTCAGCGTCTACAAAGGAATGACAAATATTTCAGGGGTGTAGTGCGTCCATTACTACCGGCACTACCACCGCTTAAGTGCACACCTTTCAAGAACAGCAAAATGCTATTGAATGGACTCACACAGGGCGGTCTCGAAAGCCCCGTCAGGTAAACTTGTGCAACCAGGTACTGTAAGCTACTGAGCATCTCGCCACTCCTTTTGTTCCAAATTTCTGTCAAAGCTTAGCGCGATTTCATTGCTACTCCTCTGTCCGGAATTAAATGGCGCAATTTGTTCGAGAGGCCAAATTCGTATCACGCACTTACCTATTCTTTATGAAAGTTTCAGAGCACCTAGCAAATTCACATGTGATGCTCTGGTCGAAATTTCAAGTAAAGACATTAGGTACTGTGCAAATGGCTGTACTTTGAATCCGCACAGTGCTTGCGCAACGTTGGAGAATCTCAAGATCGGGGCTGGGTACCCCAAAAACGACCCGCGAAGAGGGTGGCCTTGCACTTGACATCGCGCACCAACAAATGGATATCTGCTGCCATCGTTGAAACAGCAGGTCAAAGCCATCCCTGAGACGAGACAAGACCGTGGTGCAGGGCCTAAAACCGCCCGATCGTCGATCTCCACTGTGGATTTTACTATCCAACCAGATGCACATCCAGAGATCGGAAATCCAAAAATCGGACGAATTTGCCATCGAGGTTCCTTTCAGCGCACTCCCCGACCACTGACGGGATGCGCGAGGCAGGCAAAGGCACTGTGAAAAGTCTGGAAGGAAGGCGTTATCGTCCTTTTGCACCAAAACAGAGAGACCGCCAGAAATGGCTGTCGCAGGCACACCCTCCACAGAGGGCTGCCGGGGCTGTTCACAACGCTTTGAACGACGCCATCATCCAGCAATTCAGACGTTAACCACGCAGGATATTGAAAGGCTAGCCGCAGAGACACTAAAGATCTCCATCTGCTCATCACAACGTTGCAAGACCGAGATTGGCGGGTGTTCATGGCTTGTTGAGAGGCATGTCTGTGCTCCGGTCATGCCACTCGCCTGCAAGCCGCGACGATACAGACAGTCCTTAGCGCACGCAGCGATAGAAGGGCGGGCCTCAGGGTACCTAAGAACCTACTAGAAGGGATGGATCCTACACACGCCCATGTGTAGCTGCACGCGATGGGAAGAAATCACGGACATTGGCGATGGCAATAAACAGATCACGGTGCCGTTTCTGCAGGCGCTCCATCGCAATGGTTGTCGATCATTGGGCTGGAGCCTGTGCTGCGTGAGCAGCTCTACTTTCACGGCGCGGTGGAGTCCACGGGAAAGGCTGCACTCGAGAGTGGGGCGTTCCTGGACGCGGAACGCCACGGCCGGCCAGGCTGGCGCATCCCTGCGATGGGTCAAATTATGGTCTGGAGGGTGCCGTAGATGGACTGCCGAATTTGCTGCAACAATGTGTTATCTACAAGAATTTTATAGCATTTAAAGTATTCATAGGCGGTGCTTCACTTAGATCTTCAACATAAAATAACGAGCTTTTACAAGAATGCAGCCTCTCAATCAAAAGACGACATTTAATTCCGTACAGACGAAGTATTACTGTGTTACTCCATTAAATAGTTATTCTGTTATTTTAAAACTTCACTGTTGTACTTTAGCCCTGCTTGTTACTATTTTACTATATACATTTTTGTTGTCTGCAACGGCGCCACACCTCGACCCCTTCGCATGGCGCGGCTACTCCCCACTGCTTTAACGCCTCGACCACGTCCTCATGCCCGAACTCCAGTGCGGCAGACAGCGCCGTGTGGCCACTCTGTGGCGCAGACATGCAGGCACAGAAGACGTTGGAAAGATTCCGCATATTGGAAAGAAAACCCAATATTTTATAAATGTGTTAAGGAGTATATTGCAGATATTTGAGTTTTCCCGAATCCGCTTCCATCACGTTTGGAGAAAATGCCCAAGCCCCATGATGGGCGGTGTGGTGTGGTGGATGCCGCCAGTTTGGTGCAAGGGGTTTTGTTTGTCGTGTGACAAGTGTAACTAAAGCGATGACTAGAAGTCGCATAGAAGTCAGTGGGTGCGTGTGGGCGGGGGGTGGGGGGGTGGGGGTCAGGGGTCTTGTTCATTAAGATACGGAGTTGGTGTGTACTTCCCCACCTTGATATGCAAGGCTTCTTCATGAATGTGACGTCACCATCACGTGCAAAAACCGAGGGGCATCAGTGCCATCGATGTAATGGCATGATGCCCATTTCGTTGCCATCGGCAGGAAGTGTGCAACAGACTTCGGTCTCCAACATCGGACACCCCAAATCTAGCAGATTTTGGGTATTGCATTTACCCGGTATTGGAACCCCAAAATTGAGCGGTGGATACAGTAGCGGGTCATGGATACTAATGTACATAGACCCCTGATCCAAGGAGTAGACAATGAGGAACTTTGAAAAGTAGGCCGCGAAATGCCCAAAGCTGGGCTTGAAACAATGCACAATGTAAGTGCATGGGTAGCAACACCACCAAGTCAACGCTACAAAATCACAGACACAACACTACTGAAAGGTGGCACGGGATCCAGTGGCCTGGACCTTGGGCTGCACCAAGTGGGGGTGACTGATGATTGGGACCAACAGGGGTGGGCTGGAATGCTCGAGGCTCGTTTGTCTCTGCGATGCAAAGAACAAGGACCAGGCTTCAACATGCCGGGGCGCCGCGTCACAACTAGAGGCTTGGTCCCCGGGGCTCTCCTGAGCTGATGCCAGCTAGGATGGCTGACGGGATCTGTGACTGGGTTTGTGTTCTGGTAGCCAACACTAGGGGAAAAAAGGCCAAATAACACTTTTGCGAACACACATAAAACACATTTCATCATAGTTTTACACACTTGTAACACAAAAATAACACAAACCCGTAAACTTTGTACACATTTGAACACGTGTTATTTGGCCCTTTTTTTCCTAGTGCAATGTGGTGTGCGAATTGGGAACGGGCCCTGTTTCCGTGTCGTTTGGTGGTCAGTTTAGCATGGTGGGGTCTCGTGACGGCAGCGGCCCCAACCAGCGCCATCGCCTGCCCGCTCCTGGCGCTGGGCCTCGGGGTGCCCTTGGCAGGGGCCGCGCCAGAGCCTGCTCTGGCCGGCCTGGGAGCAGGTTGAATAAATCCAGAAACCATGGCGGCTTTGATTTCTCAACCGCTTCTTGGATTGGGCCTCACGACATTGGTTGCTGCCTGGCGATCTTGCACTGAACGTCCCAACGGCAGCCAGTCGCCCCCGCAGCCTTTCGCAGGCGTCCTTCCAAATTCTCCCTCGACGGCATCCACCCTGGCCCGATCGTTCCCGTTGATGCGCGAATCACAGGGAATGCGGTTTGGCCCAAACAGGGTGACGCGGGTCCAACACCAGCTGCCGCCATTCCCTTGCCACCACCCACGCCTTGCTCGTTTATGTTGAGGTTTGGGGGTGGATACTAACATCAGGTAATGGATACCGACGTGGCTTCGAACCCCAAAGAGGGGTTTTGGATACTAATACCAGGTAAATGCGGTATATACAATAATAAATTAAATCAACAGTAGCTTCTACTTAAGTTACATCAATTCAAGTAAGTAGGGTGTCCGTCAGTCGAGTTTTGAGCACTGCGTAAAATGAAACTCGACTGACATTCGTGCAGGTTTGGACTCTGGAGCGAAAGTTCAACCAACAGGTTAAGATGAAGATTATCAAACGCGTCTGGTCACCCCTGTGTGGCAAGACAGCGCCTTTGTGCACGAAAATTGTACTCTTCAGGAAAGGGATTGCAGGTTTTGGACCTACAGAAGATAGGTTATTCAACTGCATACAGTTTTCGCAGTACACTGCAGTATGCAGTATGCAGTACACAATGCATATAATACAGCAAAAATTTTATTGCATGTGTACTGTGCATGCAGAAATGCCAACCTTGTTCTTGTGGCTTGCATCGACGCCTTTATCTAGGAAGAATTTGACAAAGTCCATGTGACCTTCGCTGGCAGCAGAAATCAATGGAGTATCCCCAGCCTGTGTCAAAGACAATTAGTTGGTAAATCGCCAACTAACTAACCCATTAAGTAACTGCATGCTCCTCGTAGCATTTGAAGGGCCAGTCGAATAGGTCTACTATTGTATTATTAGGTCGGTTCCAAATCAGGGCATCGCATTCACTAAAGAAGTTTAGAGGAGGGGCCTGACAGGGAACTTTGCGGCGTGCCTACAATCCGAGGGTCTAGACCTGCAACTTCAAATTTCGACTCTCAGCGACTAGTCCACGATTCAATTAAGTACTCGCATCATCAACTAGATAGTCGTCTTAATATCCTGCAATTCGCTCTTAAAAATCGCAACGCCATCATCGCGACCGTACATCCTGGTACACATTCACCGAGTTCTTGTATAGCATCACGTAGTCTTTTTGGCGAACCGAGCTCTTGAGCCACAGTTATTTACATCACTCGCTGTTGATATGATTGCTATTGATATCATACTTTTAATTCATGCCATCTGTGCAATCAAGAAGCGCCATGTTTGCAAGTGATTGTGATGGCACAAATGGGGCGCGATGGCATTCACTTAGTGCCAAATGGCATCACAGTTGGCATCACAAGAATATGGATTTCTACTGGTGCTATTTACAACACAGATAGAATGATACTATCATTACCTTGTTCTGAACGCAAAGTGAGCATCCCAGCTCAGCAAGGACCGTCGCAACGTCCAAGTGGCCCTTGTGTGCGGCAGCCTGCACAGCCGTCTCGCCCGCCTGAGGATAGAAAATTATCAATTAGTCACAGACCGAAGCTGCTCTCCAACTGCCATTGTCCAGGATAGACAATGGGCGAAATCCCTGATCGAATGTGCAATGAACTGGCAGACAGCAGTTCGCCACATACAGTTCGTGAGCTAAGAACAAATGCAGACACAGCGGTGAGAATCGTTGAAATACCACTCGATTTTAAGAAATCTTCTGGGCTTTAAATAGAACATGCATTAACTTCGCATTCGCTGCAGACGAGTACTGGCTGCCACTGGGTATCAATACCATTGGCTGCTCGTGTTCAATGCAATGGACCCACAAATGTCCCTTGCCTCATGAAGCGGCCTGACTGCTGGGCCACTCTTTTCACAGTATCTGCAGGTTTTTTTGTGTCTTTTCTCTTTACGTTGAATCGTGGCATATTGTCAACTGCTCGTATTTCAGCCGCATGTGTTGCTAATAGCATACTCAGATTATCATCATCAAAATCTGTGAATTGCATTTGCCATGAAATGGTAAAACACAGCCCTTGCACCTGACAGTCATGGGCGTAAAAACTGAACGAAGTGTTTGTTCAGAATCGATTGTTCATGATTCCCCAGCCACACAATCCCAGAGCCCCGATTTGTATGCAGTCCCTTTGTTCCATGAAATGTAGTGAAGTACCATGAATAATAAAATCGCCATGGAGTGTGTTCAGAAAATGCAATGAGGAAAAATCTGCCTCAAACCTCAGTCCCCATGTCCCAGGCGAGCCCACGCACGCCACACATGCATCAGATCAGTGTGCACGGCATCTGTATGACGTCAATGTATCATACTGACGTCACACAAGTTTCGTGAAATAGTGCTATTTCACACACACTGCTCAGTGTGTTGCCACCGTCCAGGCGACAACAGAAACGGGTTCACACTTCAAGGCCCAATAATAATTCAGAGCTTAGCAGAACTTAGATTTTTAGCATTCAGTCGGTTACAACGTCGCAGAACACGTGCCAGACAAGAATTTACTTCCGCTCATAAGTATGCCAAAAAGATGCGGAAAAGATGTTAGGCCCAAGAGCTCAACAGAGCTGGCAAGACTCTTGGTGTCTGACTGTCACCTCGTCCGCGGCTTCGAGAAGGGCCCCGCGTTTGAACATGATTTCCACCACTGCAGGGTGCCCTCGATCCGCAGCGAGCTGGCAAGGGGACAAACCATTCATCTGCAGGAAAGTCACACACGTGTGAATGTGACACATACGGCAGGTGCCGCAGGCGCAACTTTCCACATCGCACGTATGTCTCTCAATGTCCATTGAATTTATGTTTTCAAAAGAAAGCATGTTATTTTGATGGAATCTTTATTGTTTTTGATGACTGACGACAAGGCTCCTCGTTTTGCAACTTGCCAAGTGGCGACAGGACCTGCCTCGCAATGGCCCTGGCCACGCTCGACGACGCAGTCCCAATGCCGAGCGCGAAACCATGCTTCGCCGAAACTGAGGTGCCGGTGCTGCTAAGCGGTGCCTGCCACAATATCTTTCCGTTCGTTTTCCATCTATCATTCCCTGAGGGGACGAAAATTGACGTGCCGATGCCTTCCAATATTCACTTCATTCTTCAACGCAATACTCAATGCAATGTTGGCTACAGTATTCACTGCACCGTTCACAGCGATGTTCACTGCAATGCCCTTGGACACATCCGCAGGTCAACACGCCATGCTGTGCCCCGGCCTACGCCGCTCCACACTCGCAGTCCGGGCAATACCATTCCCATTGTCTTTCATCTTATATCCATTCATTTTATACTCTCTCTTGCCTTAATTGCTCCTGAATTATCGCTCCCTTTCATCTAGTATGTATTTCATTTTATATTCCATTTTATCTGATATATCCTTGCATGTCTCACAAATTATACTACTGTAGTACGAGAAATGCCTCAATACATCATACTACTGTGGTAAGAGAGGTACCACTGCAGTAAGAGAGACGCATTAACACACTATACTGCTGTAGCACGATAAATGCATTATAATGTACTAATAAGCACATCTCATATACTTCATCTATATCCTTCATTCTCGTTCTCTGTCAGAATCCCAACCTGCTTTGGCGGATTGGTGCTGGCCCCGGCTTGCAGGAGCGCCTCGACGCAAGAGCGCTGACCCCTCCAGCACGCCAGGAGGAGCGGAGTGAAACCAGGCTGCGGGCGGAACAGCACATCGGAGTCAGGATGGCATTCAACGGGCTTCATTGCCTTTTTAGCCACTCGCTGTTAAAACTTATAGCGTTCACTCACTGTTTAACTAAACACACTATTTTTTCGCTTTTTATTCGACCAAGTTCTTGACTCGTAGGGCGTTCCGGAAACGGCTCCAGTTTCTGCCGGAAACTCGTTCATCTTAATGGATTTGTTTACTGCAGAATTCTGAAGTAGACAAAGAGGAGACCCTTTCATCGTTCAGAAACCCCTTTAAAAGGCGTTCAGACTCGAATCTGAAACCCTGCAAGGGAGGCGGCGCAAGCAGCAAGCACGCCTGCCATCGAGCCACGCTGGAGAAGCAGACGTTATGCACCTGCTTCGTGCCCGGCACTCGAGTCACCACATGGATGGGTACAATGTGCCCAGAACGTGAACAGAGCGTGGCCATAATGTGTGCCCCGACTTTGAAAGCTGTCCAGAGTGTGACCAGAATGTGACCACGATGCGGCCAGACTGTCATTGGCACGTGAACAGGTGTGGCAACATATCGCGGATAGACTTCACAATTGCGGAGGCACACCGACCCAGGGAGCAGCTTGGAACTAATTTGCATACACGGGCGAGCCATGCAGAAAAGTGGATCATACGTGCCAATCATCGCCTCAGTCCGCCCCCCTCATCAGTTGGCTCTAACACTGGAGCCAGCAATCCAATTGATTTAAAAATTTAACTAGCAGCGAGGAGTTAATGAGGAGAACTGAACAGGATTTAGTCATTTGACTGACAATTGAACAATCAATTCATCCTTAGTGCCTGTCTCACACCTGGCAAGCAGCATCCACCGTCGCTCCGTGCTCCAAAAGCAGATTGACGACGTCCAGGTGGCCATTTTGGGCAGCGAAGTGCAGTGCAGCAGCTTCCCTCTACATCGCAAGGCGTGACATCACAGGTGCTCAGCATTAATCCGCCAAAAGAGGTGTGGGACCAAGTACAGAAGCAAGCCAAAGTACTGCTGGATGATAACGACAGCGGGAAACGGAACAGCGTGAATGTCATCGCAGCATGAGCGGCTTGCTGTGCAAATGTGTGTGGTTGATGGCGAAACGTTTAATCAGACGTTGAACCAGTTGCGTTTAATTGGAAATGTTTGATGGGACGTTGAATCCAGGGGGACAAGAGCTGGGGCAATGCAGAAGTGGGCGGCAGTGAATGGATATGCACAGCCTGCCCTGTTTGACGAGGATACTTGCCCTGTGACACAATATGCGTCAATGTGCCGAACAGTACTTGAACAAGTACGTGGTTGGTATGAGCGCCGTACTTCCGCGACTGGTGGACCGCGCACACCTTGCAGCTAGCATCTACTGCCGCGCCACGTTGAAGCAGAACATCGACCACCTCCAAATGACCGTTTTGGGCCGCAATGTGCAAAGCCACCACTCCTTTCTATGAATGGACATGCGTCAAACCATCAGAACAGATATTACACGATTGCCATCGAATCAAACCAGTAGAACAACAACATAACCTTCTGGGCAACAGTGCGCAGCGTGACAGCACAAGGCAACCGATGAATCTAGAGTCGTCGCTGACGCCGTCGGCTGCATCTGCCACTGCAGTTTCACTTCCATCCCCATCGATGCTCTGAAGGAAGCGGTATAAGACTTAATACTTTATACTACTGTGCTGTACTGCTAATTTTTAAAGGGGGGGCACAGGGCCTATCCGGCACAGATGTGTGGTCCCAGTGGAGTGTTATTTTCTCAGGGAAGCCGTGTCTTGTGTTTTCCGATGGACAGGGGGTGGATCGGTGTTCGTTCTGACTAGCGTTGTTGGGTCCCACCAGACCACTGACAAGCTGATGCTGTCTGATCACCCAGCTTCAGTAGGGACTCACGCCACGAGGGTGGTGCATTTCTTCACGTTGCCTCATCGGAGGCGTCCCTCGCTTCATTCAGTTAAAGTTATCTTAAGTCTGCAAGTCGTCTCTACTGCCTGTGGCCATGCAATTTACATATCGGTTTGTAAATTACTATTGGCGTTTAGAAAGATTCACTCAGCAAATCCCTCTTGCAGACTGCAAGAATGCAATGGACTGGAGTCCAGCTATCCGCCCTAATTTTCTGATATATTCGATAAACGAAATTCGCCCAGCCCGAGATTGGAACTCAATATCGATGTTCTGCCTCCGTCTCTACACTTACGGGGCCATCCAACAACATTCCTCTAGCTGACGGCCCGATTAGCCGCTGGTGAAACGATCTAAGAATCAAAATCTCTCATGCCAACCCTTAGCACTAAGAGTATTTAAACAATTACTCCCAGAAGCACTAAACAACGTATGTGGTTGAGTATTGAACCCGTTCTGTCTTCCAAAGGCTTGAGCCGCCTGAAGCACATGGGGGCCATTCTGGCTCGCTACAGTCTGGTGGGTGGAAGGCGGAGCTCTGCTGTATTTCCGAGCAGAATGCAAAAGTGATACTGCCACTCTATTCACCAAGTTTTGGTGTATAGACGACAAACCCGCGCACAAACAACAACGAGAAATAAGAAATAAGTAGGTAATATTCGGATACAAATAGGAGTAAAAGTATATGGTAAAGCACGCGCAGTCCACACTCACGCACTTTGGAGCCGCGATTAACCGAAGCGTTCTCCTGAAGCAGCAGTTGGGCGACAGCCATGTGGCCGTTGTCGCAGGCATTATGCAACGGAGTGTAGCCAGCCTATGCGACCAAAAGAATATTTACCCACACGTCCGCTGTCTTCCGTTCCAACATCAATATTACCGCCTTCAGTCTGTTATATGTCAGCTGTTCGTTGGTGTACGTTGCTAAACTATGCATTAATTTGAATAGTTTTCATCGCGTAATGCTAATGTGCGAGGCTGGCGTACTAGCACACGCTGGCGTGCATAATACAACACAAGTGCGGTGTTCTTTGGGTTCAAAGGAGTTGATTGAATATCTCCAGCTACTGAATTTCGCTCCTGCTCTGCTAGAATGCGCGTTGAGCCCCTTTTCGGGTAAGTTGAGTACAAAACATTGACAATTCATTTATTGCAATGTTCCATACTCATTTCCTGTTTCTTCATTTAATAGGTTTCCGAAGCACCAAGTGCTGCCCCACGTTGCTGGAATCATGCTACGTCGCTGTGGTACTAATAGACTGAAGAGAAAGTTCAGCCTATGGGGGGAGATATGCGACCATGGCGACGGCCCAGCAGCAACAAAACCAGCGGCGCAACATGCTCACTACCATGCTGATTATTTTTGAAGCGCCGAGCTTTTGACTAGGGATCGCTGCATAGTTTGACAGTATTTTATTTTGCCCATCAGCAGACATCGATGTTCAAACCCTAAACACGTTACTGTACCGCACTTGGTACCGGTACCGGTACCTGTACCGGTTTTCATTTTCTGATTCTACCGTGTATCACCCAAATGCTATTGTTGATGACATAGGCAGACACGCCAACGATTTTGCGCTTCAATCGCATAGGCAGCAGCAAATTTACACCAACAGTATACAACCAATATTATGGAATTCTGCAGAATACCGTTCAATTCGCAACTCAGCGTTGATTGCAATATATCCGCTCCATTGCATAATGTGCTGTGTTGCATTGTACACTGCAGTGTGCTGCATTGTAAACTGCATGAATCAATGTTATTTTGCAACTGGTTCCCCAGTACTTCCAATGAACCACCAGCATCGTGATGTGAGAATGCAAGCAAGGACTCACTGTTCCACAGCAATGTACTTGCCATTTCTCCAAGGACCACAATTTTTTGACGTGCTGCATTGTTTAACAAAACGACACGCTCCCCCCCTCCCCCCTTCCGCCTCGCCCTCCCCCCAAAAAACTCTCCAAATGCTGCTACTAGTACACAATATTCCATGAGTCGGGTTCACACCTTATGCGATCATATATCATCACTCATTTGTATTGCATACATTACACAATACTGTTGCTTCCAGCTCCCAGATATTATTTCCATGTGTTTCTGCAATAAACCCTTTGCAGGCAGATCTCGCACAGGGCCAAATTGCGAATGTGCTGTGGTTGCTTGGCGCTGCGCTAAGTACTGTTGGTCTTTTGTTCCCGCATTGTTCGAACATGTGTTTTTAATGACTGCCTGGGCACGTACATTGGTCCCAAGATCCACAGCCGCACTTTGGCCAATCAAAAGCGCCGCTGCTTCTGGGTGACCATGCATGGCAGCGCAATGCAGAGGCGTGTATCCCTCCTGATCAAAAAAAGGGCACAAAACACCCTCTTAGGCAATTATCTGATTTATTTATGTGTGTATGTGCACTTTTCTCTTTGTTCTACTATTACATCTGTACTAAGCTATAATTGCATGTTCTTGCGCAGATTATAGACCGTGTTTTCATCTCCGACCTACAATCCAACTTGTGATAGAGCTGGATTGTGCATGATTCTTGCGTCGCGCCAACAGCCAATGCGTCCAATCTTTGGCGATTTAAAAAACGATTATACCAATGTTAACACTGGTACACTGACATTAATTCATGAACTGGTTGGTTTATTTCATGCCACAAATGTGTTGCTTTATTTGCTGTTGAGCATCGAACAGCATTTTATGCACCATGGCAATGCACATAATAATATACGATATTGTTCAGAGCACCAATAAATGGAGACAATCTAATGGAATAAATGGCTGCCATGCCCCATGAATTTTTGCATGAATACTACCAAGTTGGTGCTCCGTGAGGCCCAGGATTCCAGACTGGAATGGCCTTGGTTGATAGTCTGTAAACAGACTGGAAGAATAGCTCTCGTGCAAATGGCCAAGAGGCCACAGGGAACCCATAGGGGCCTGGATGTATGCCATGAAGGGACAACTGCCCCGTAATCCAGCCCAGCTCTTCACCCACAACACTGAAAGCACCAAGGAAGCACTATGGCCTATGAGGCCTGCACTCAACTGAGTGCCAGCCACACTGACAGTGCCAGCCACTTGCATGCCCACCAAATGGTTGAAACGCTGCATGGATGCCCAGACCCGACCTGAATGGACTAGCGCACCTGCTGACGAGCCCTACATCAAAAACTGGATCAATGCCCATCGATGTGTCATGTCGGCCCATAGCAAGCCATGGGGCTCTTCAGAGGGGGTCACAGCCACATGGCAGCGAAGACAATCCCAAAGGGATTGCTCAAGATTGGCTGATGGGACTAGGAGGCCAGGGGAAGAGTTCTTGCTCTGCCTGGGCAGCTCATTTATGGGAAGGTGCTTGAGGGAGGGCGCCGGCCGAAAATGGATGCGAGGATCATGGACGGGGAAGGCTGAGCGCATTTCCAGAATGGGGAGGGACTCTCCGGGGAAAGTGAGCTGGCAATTTCAGAGGAGGGGGAGGGGGGCCTTGTTCCTAACCTTGCCATGGAGGTTAGCTCGCAGAACCCACAGCAAGAGAATGCGCTGGCTTGGAGGCAGGCTGGAGGGCTTGCAGGGAGGTGTGAGTGTGGGGAGTGAGGTGGCGAGGGCCAGTGGCACCGCTGAGCACTGACTTGGCACGACGCCCCCAGGGATTTGCTATATGTGTGCATATCGGGCAAGGATCAGGTATTGTCATGTTGCCTTGTATGCTAGGCTATCGTGAGTGGCATGACACATGGGTTTCCAATTCCAGTCAGGCCGGGGACCTCATCGAAAGTTAGATGGGGCCATTATTAGGATCTGATAATACATATCATTTGCAAATGCAATTTGCAATATAATGATACTGAATTTGTATTTTTCTGATAAGTTTTGAGGAATTCAGAACGAATTTAGTGGACCTTCAGAAACATCATCTGTTGCCGATGGTGTTTTGGGCCATTTTGAGTTGAGGGCTTCTACATAGGCTGTTGTCGTTTCTGGCCTTGATAATAGATTACACGCGAATCTGTGCATGCTCTGAAAGATCTTTGATGATCCCACTACCATGGTTGTGTCGCTGGCCGACGATGGCATAGATGGATGCACATCAACAATGTTTAAACGGAGGAAGGACCCTGGGTTTCCCTCCCTCCAAGATGTCAAGGATCTGAATACTTGGAGAAATATCAGTCAAAAAGGATGGCCATGCCTGGCGTTAGGGTAACCGCTATCTTGATTGATAGATGGGTGATCTGGGATACTGCATGGAAGAGAGCGAACGTCCTTCAGACGGTTTTGCTGCAAGAGTGGGACGCAGCTCTGGAGAGGGACCTGAAGTTGTTTGATATCATTCAAAATGCAATGGCTGTGTTCGAACGCTACTTTAATATGAAGGGTTTCCCTCTGCTGAATTCTGAGGTCTTGTATGGCATCGAGTTGATGGCCTTCCGCAGAATGAAGCCATCTTCGAAAGTAGCATCTAGGGAAGTAGCGACTACTATGCTGCGAATGGAGACCCAAACAGTCCATCTTTTTGAGGGCGAAGACCATTGTTTGGCGCAGATTGATGGTGGTTGAGGAAAGGGTCTTGTTTGCACAAAGAGTCTAGGTTAAAGCCATGGCTGAAATCTTCAACGATGATAATGGAGTACGAGCATTGCTGCAAGAGTGTCAGTAAATTGAGAGCATGGCGCTAGGGCCCATCCCAATGTCGTCAATGACACCTTCTGTGGTGGAGGCACTGGATCAATATCATAGGAGGCAGCCCAAAATTGACGAGCTTAGGTTGAAGGATGACATAAGAGCCGAGGTCGTCAATTGGCTTTCTAAACAAGGGCCTCGATTTTCAGTTGTCAAAGAAAAGAGCTCTATGGGCGCTACCCATCACCTGCGAAGGAATTGCAACATGAGGTGCATGGGGATATGGATCCCATGCAGGATTTGATTGGATTGAGAGCAAATTCGTTGGGTTCAATGATAGTGATATGTTGGGCAGTTGCGGGCTACATGGAATAGACTTTTTGTTGGTTATGGTTAGTGAAGAAACACGACCTGCGCCTGTATTGTTTTTTTATACCAGTTCGTGATGGCAATAGTGTTTTGCACTAGAAAAAGTACCAAATAACATGTGTTCAAACGTGCGCAAAGTTTACGCATTGGTGTTATTTTTGTGTCTTTTGCATGCAGAACACTGATGAAATGCACATATATGTGCTCGCAAATAGTGGCATTTGGTCCTTCTTTTGCTAGTGTTGAATGACGCAGATTTGGTGTTTTTGTTGTCATTGTCGGTGTCATGATGTTGCTAGTGTTCACCTGCACATTCCGCGGATGATCATGGTGATGTTCATTAGGCAATACATGCATCATGTGTGTAGGACATGACTGGATGCTAAGGGAGATTTGATCAGATTTGGATAGTCCATAGGGGTAGTGCAAAGAGGGAACTACTTGGTACATGTGCCCCCCGCCAATCTCACTCCGCACTCACACCTGCTTGCACCCCTTCCAGCCCACCCCCAAGCTGGTGCATTCCCTTGTGGTGGGTTCCATGAGCGACCCCCCATGGCAGGGTCGGGGGCAAGGCCCCATCCATGAAATTGCATGCTCATTTTCTCTGGGAAAACTCTCCCCACTCCGAAAATGCACTTGGCCCTCCCCATCCATGATCTCTACATGCATTTCCTGGGGGCGCTCTCCCTAGAACAATCCCCCATAAACGTGCTTCCCGGGCAGAGCAAGAACTCTGCCCCTTGCCTCCCAATCCTCCAAGCCAATCCTGGACAATCCCTTCGAAGTTGTCTTCACTGTTATGCAACTGTGACCCCCCTCCACGGAGCCCCATGGCTTGCCATGGGCCGACCCGCCCCTTTGACAGGCATTGGTCCAATCTCTTGATGCTGGACTCGTCAGCAGGTGCCTCAGTCAATTCTTGTGGCCTGCGTGGCCCTATGGATTGCCTGTGGCCTCTCAACTAGTTGCACAAGAACTATTCCTCTAGTCTGTATGCAAACTGTTGACTGACGCCATTCCGGCCTGGAATCCTGGGCCTTACGGGGCACCAGCTTGGTGATATTCACACAATAACTCATGTGCCATGTAGAGGTGGCCACTCAAAGATGCCATCCGGTCTGCTAAGTCCGGTTCGTTAATTTTTATCAGCTGTTCGTCAAATTTCGTTAAAGAAAAAGGGAGAAAATTTCAGAAAAAACGAAAAAAATCCAAAAAAATCAAAAAAAAAAAACCCAAAAAATCACAACAACTGCGGCTAGTTGAAAATCTAGTATGCATAGGTTGAAATAAAATACAAACATACTCTCTAATAGCGAATTCCATAAACTATAAATATGACTAAAACCCAAAAATCCCCAAAAAATCCAAAAATCCGTTAATTTTGGTTAATTTTTGTCTTTTTTCGTTATTTTCCGTTAATTAACGGAAAATTAACGGAAATTAACCTCTGTCCGCTATTAACGGATCCGGGTGGCCACCTCTAGTGCCATGGCAGCCATCTGTTCTGTAAGATTGGCTCCATTCTTTGGTGCCCCAAACAATACTGAAATATTCTGATGTGCATGACATGAGGCGTTATGAGAGGGCAACAGGTAATATTCTATGGCATATTCTGGAAAATGTGTGGCTGAGAACGGACATGGATATGTGTATAAACCGGTGAGTCAGCAATGTAGGCGCCCCCGGCCTGTGATTCACGTTGGGTTATGGATGTTGTAGCCAGCCAGGCTCCCTCACTGCATGAGGAGAGGACTTGGTCAAGCGAGCATCCCTTTCGAGGGAGGGACTTGGACCCTGTGTGAGACGTCCATGAAAAGGCAGGCCTGCGTCTTTCTTTCTGGTCTTGCCATTGTGTTGAATCACACGATTTAACGGACTTCAGGTCGGTCTTTCACTGCTGCCTTCCGGAGAGGTTTGGCCATGTTGAGACCACGATCTTTGTAATGCTCTTTCAGGAGAGCTCCACATCCTGGCTAGTACATTGATGATGTGGCCATACCTGAACAAAATCGAATGTACCGTGGACCGAGACACAGAGTGGATATTCTGACTAGTCCCGATATCTGCTGCATATAACAATTTGAATTCCCCAGTTCTCTGCAGGTTCTGCATTTCTGCCCAAGTTTGCATTCGTTTACTCATTTTCTGCACTTGCTTGTTTCAATCGCATTGGTTACTTGCTGAATAACAAAAATTGAAATAAAACCCGGATGTCACAGCAAAAGCGTGCACATCGGCGTACCTCTTCTTGAATGTCGACTTTCGCCCCCGAATCGATTAGTAGTCGCACCAAATCCGTGCTCCCATCCCATGCCGATTTGTGGAGGGGAGACCAGCCCGTCTGCAACCACAGGTGACTTCAAGGATTTCATTTACAAAATCAGGGAAACAGGTTTACCACGAAAATGAAAATATAGCCACGATCTGTTGCCCAAATACTGGAATGCGTGCCATACGTTGAATGATGCCCACCAGCACACAGCTGATTTGCAGTCGATTTAGTAGAAATGTTGGATTGATGCCAATTCCAGGGACCACTGGTACTTACTTGCCAGTGCATCAAGGGTCTGGTCATCCACGATAAATAGCTATATGTGTAACATGTAGGATACTTACATCCTGCCCCCATGCCTCTCCCTATCCCTATACCCATAACTTGTATTATCTGTATCCAACATCTACTACCACTGTTACAAAAATCTTGTCGCTTATCCAAATCGCGCGAACAGAAATCACAATGTGCGAGCAAAAAATTTGACCAAAACAACTTGAACGCACCATTTTCGTAGCCATCTGTAGAGCCCTTGTGCGTGGAAAATGGCGCTACCATTCTTGACATATGTTAGGAGGAGCACAGCCGCCACTATTCATTTGCAAGGACCTTGAGGAGAGGAATGGCAAGCTCGTCTCGCCCTTCGAAGGAGATGGATCGAGCTGGGCTATCACTATGGGAGAGGTATGGCTTGTTGGTTTGGTATGCACTGAAGATTCGGTTAAATTCAAAACAAAATCCACGCAAGAGAAGATGTAGGCTTGCTACAGATTTTCGGGTATCGCCAAGAATTTTGCATATGTTGTGGCCAAAGGCCAAGAGACACCTATATTAGCGCAAGTGCATTGACTCACCCAGCGCACCAAGGTTGGGAAGGTTGTGAATGCTGTCACTAACCCGATTACGGCCTCGGTTGGTGCCAACATAGCCAATCATTAGAATTGAGAATTTCGAAGACTCAGGTCAGCGTAGCAGAAGAGATAGTCCACAAAGAGTATGATTGCAATGATGCCAAAATCCTTGAAAGGTTGCGGTAGCGCCCATTCATATTCTGCAATAAGGTTCTTGAAGAATTCAGGGAAATTGGCTGGCAAACATGGGGAGAAGGTGGGAACAAAACTCTGGGGAATTGAGGTGCTGGCGGAGATGGACAGGGATGCTTTTGATAAGGCTGTGAATTTCTGGCTGTATGGTAATGACTAATGTAATCAAAATCCCTAAGACCCCAAAATCCACCAAGGAATCCGAATCTGGTCACAAATTTACTAATTGATGTGATCTTGCAAGGTTATGACAAGATTGGATGGGCGACAAGGCTTATGTAACGGAGGCAGAATATACAATAAATGTCTAACACATACAATATACCTTGAACTGGCTGTCTACACTGGGTTTTACCATGAAAGCCACAACCCAAGGGTTTGTGTGTGGCAAATCTTGGCTGACAACAGCGACATTGTTCCTAGTGGACGTCGAATTGTTTGACAAAGGAGCAGGGTGTCACGAGTTCAGGGGAAGACTTAATTTAGTGTGACATGCGTGTGCTGCATGTTTCTTTTTAGGGTATAAGTAACACAAACCATTGTATCATTTCCATTTTGGAATGATAAAGCTGCATGGCTATCACCGGCTGTCTCGCGTACTACATACATCCTTCAGTTTAATTCTGTGCATACTGCAATCTGATAGCAGGATTTTAATTACCAAAGGCAGCTGTCCTGGGACGGCTGTCGGTTTGTCGCCCTTTGCAGTCGCCATTGTATGTGCTTGCCTGCTGCTGCCAGTTGCCAAAATCGCGACCTTACTGAGATCAACCAAATTGGAATGCACATGGAGGGTACACTTGAATCATCGGATAAATCTTCCCGCACCCGAGATTGATGGTTGACTTCCGCCCCAGCCCCCAACAGGTACTCTGTCGTGGGGAAGCTGCCGCTTTGGCAGGCAAACGTCAGCGCAGACCAGCCCTCCTGCATGAACAGATTGGCAATCGTCCAAAGTGTCCATTGATGACCCGGATTGAGTGGTATTCAGTTGAACGATGGATGAGTGATTAAAAAAATCGTTCGATCAATCGTGTGCAATCAAACCATGCAGCCATTGGCTGGCCCTGTTGCGATGGATCCAAGCAACACAATAGAGAATATGCTCAAAACGCCGTTATTCTGATTTATTTCCAATTCTTGTTCAAAAGGTAAAATTACAATGGCACATCGACAATTTAGTCAACAGCTTATTGACTTCGAACAGGTTAATACGACATCTGTTCTTCCAACCCGTCAACATTCCTATTGCCCTCTAAATGCATAGCTTTGCACAATATTCTGTGTTCAATTTGTGTCTATTGAAAATTTATGAAAATACAACAGCAAAAGAGCTTTCTTTTATTAGACCTGCTCAAATAGCTCAAGCAGGATGGCGCTCCGCAATATGCAGCACAGAATATATACGTGGAATGTGGTGTGCAGTATACATGGAATGGCCCCAGTAGAATGAGCACCAAGGTGCTTAACAAGTTCATGCTTAACAAATTTCACAAAATGCTTCCAAACATAAAAATAAAAGCGCACTGTGACCACAATACGAGCAACGTGAACAGTGGCATTTACACAGGAATGATCACAGCAAAAGGTGCTAAGTATTGCCAGAGACATGAAAATGATGGGAAAAGCGAGAAAGCCCCCCATTTCTGCATCTAATGTTCGTCTTGGAGCGCATGGCAATTAGTTATATCTCTGCTTGCCATGAACTCCCCACTTGACGTCATCTTCACAAGACATTCTAGAATATCTTGCAGAAGAGGAGGTCATGGTGGGAGAGCCATTCCATATCGATGTTGTTTCCTAGCGGATTTTGCGCTGGCACTCACACAGGCTGCAAACGATCCAATTCGGCTTGGCAGCAAATTCAGTGCTATTTCCTCCCATGGCTGCTCGTCCACTGCAAACCCGCTTGTTCTCCGGCACAACTAAATATTTGCATTCTTGAAAAAGCGCATGTGTGACTGTTTGAAGTGCACAAACCTTCTCACCTTCTCTGTGGCTTCCATGTCGGCCCCATTTTCCACTAGGAATTGCACCACCTCCTTGTGTCCGTTGTGGGACGCTCCCAGCAGCGGCGTCCATTGCAGCTGGCAGCAAATCATCAACAACAGTTAAAAAATTACGGAGCAATGTCAATTCCACTGCCAGCATGATGTATAGCAATGGTATTTCGCATGTACTCATTCCACAGGCTCCGCTTAGCCGTTGTGTGAAATCATTTCGCACAACGGGTAGCACTGTTTGGCATTTCGCTGAATTGCAGCTGTAATGAAGGAGACCCTGTCGACATGGTTGCTACTTGGCAGAGCAAATAAACGGCAGTGCATTCTGCTCCACCTTGTTCATGATCAATATCTACAACATGCCCTCCTACGAGGAACCTTTGTTCCTACAAGCTGTTAGGGTGCTGGGGATCTCTCTCTTGGTATCAGGTGCCATGTGCATGCCGCCCTGGCATTCTGTGCAAGTGGCAATTTTCTTAGAGCAGATTTGTGGTTATCCAGATCCTGCGAACAGCTTCGTGGATCTGTACCAAAAATTCGTTTATGCAAAGTGGCAAATATGCCCCAAGCCCTTGACAATCATCGAGCAAAGTCCGAAAAGATATGTTCAAATGTTTTGGGTGCCTATTTCAGAATCAAAACAATCCGTTTATGACTCATCCAAGCCCAACAGAAGCAATCTTGTACCTCATCCTTGAGATCGATTGGCGCTCCCGCCTGCACGACGCTCCTGCAGATCTCCAGACGACCGTCCCAGGCAGCCTTAAAGAGAGCCGACCAGCCACTCTACACAAAAGAAATACATAAACAAACCAAATATGAACATAAGAAACTAATGTTGAAGTTGACTGGCAAAACAACAATGCAATTAACCAAAAAAGCGAAGGGACAGAGGACAATCAAGTGGTGAACGGGCAACAGAAATCGATAAAAAGCAAATACTCGAGGACTGAGACATAACGTAATATGATACGAGTATGCAAAAAAAAGAGAAACAACTGCCTTGCGCCATCTAAATTAACGAAATTATGTGCAATGAAGGGCATGCCAAAATGCCAAAACTGCGAAAAAGATTGATTCCACCTGAAAACAAGGACCACAGCGTCCTGTGACTTATGCCATCAATCTGTAATGGCGGAGCCATGTGTAGATAACGTGTCTGTGTTACCAAGACATAATCTATATGCTCTCAGACATTCTCTCAAGGAGTTACACATTTATTTGCTTTCTGCTTCAGCTCTGTTTTCTACTCTGAGGGCCTGCATTGCACAAAATCCTTGCCTTGCTCTGATGATCGACTTTAGCCCCAGCTTCCAGCAAAACGTCGACGGTCTCCAGGCTTCCTTTCTGACATGCAAGCATCAATGCCGACCATCCGTCCTGCCCAGCAATCGAAAGAAAATAATGGGCAATTCTGTTATTGAGCGCATGCGCTCAGCGTTCGGGGGCATGATGATATCAGAGTGAAGAGAAATGAGCAAGCAGACAGGCTGCCTTTCGTGCGAAATTCCCTCCTTTCGTGTTCCATCTTCTATTTCTCCGTTCATCTCACACTTTCCGGATTACTTTCTCCATGCTAAACTTCTGCGTCGCATGACCCCAAGAGTGATCATCATAACCCCATTGTGCGTTTCATTCCTCATTCTTACATAAATTGCTAGTTTGCCCCCCCCCCACCCCCCCACCCCACCACCACCACCACCATACCCAAATGCCATCATTTGGTGCCCAGGTCGTAAGACTGCAAGATGGATCCAACATCCATCCACCATGTCACTTCCAACCAACACACTTTAAATGCTACATATGCGCAACGGTTCATTAATTGATTCACTGAATAGTACTAACAGTATATCAATGAACAGAATTGGGGCAACGCAGGTGTGAGGCTTGACGTTCCTTTCAATGTTGGCTCGGTGCACACATTGATCAAAAGGATGTCCCCTTTCTCAGAGACACACCAGGTGTGAACTGAGCAGATATTTCAAACAAACAACGTAGCTGCAATTCGATGCAAATTTCAGTGAAAGGATAATGCATACACTATGCATCCAAGCATACCCTACATTACAACTTCAAGATGCAGGTTCAGTGGCCTTCAATTTCTTGGCAAAACAACCCAAAGGGTCTGAGACAATGCGCTAAGGCCAACGCCGCAACACGTGACTCGCTCAGTGTCACAACAACGCACGTGTGGACGCACAACTGAGTCGACACACAGTACTGCAGCCTGCACAGCGCCTTCAAGCCCCCCTCGCTTATTTCACCCATGCCGGCCCAACTTTCAGGCATTTCGGCTGAAGGGCGTGGCCAAAATGGGGATGGTGTGCCCATTTAAATGGGCCATGCAGGTTGTTCTGCACAGCCTATCGTCCAGGTAGGCCTTCGCCTTGTCCGTTGGGCCTCACCAGGGCTCCTTCCAATGTTCTGCATGTGGGTCTCCCACTGCGTTTTGACTGCTCTGGGCGTTTAAGCTATGTCAACTATTTCAGCCATTTGGAAGCGCTTGACAGGGGCGGCGTGGTCCCAACACTTGAGAAGCATGCTGAGACATGGAGCTGATACCTAGCACGCTCACAGGGGTGGGTGCGGGATCCGTACCTCTTGTGCGTGGTTCACGTCGGCGCCTTGGCTGGCCAGGTGCTTGACGATGTCGGCGTTGCCATTGGACGCCGCTGACATCAGGGGGGTCCGTTTGTCCTGACGTTTGGCATGTTCAACCGATCAATGGGAAGAAACAATACAAAAACATGGGAAGATGAAAAGGATGTGTACAGTGAATATGCGACATACTGTGACAAGATACCCACACGAGATGATAGATAGACTTCAGCATCATATGGAAGGAAGTGCAGCCCATTAGCTTCCATCCTGGTCACTTCATGGAGAAAAACATGCCAGTTACATTTCTGACTACAACGAGACAACGGATATCATGCCTTGAACATGCTGCACACATAGAAGCAAAGCACGGGCAAACTACAGAAAGTGGCAGAAATGTTGCCCCTGTTTGAGCGAGTCAGGATCACGCAATCTCAGCCTCAGCTATGGTGCAAATCTTCACCAATTTTCCAGTTCAACGCCAAGTGGAAGCAAAGTACACTATGGTTAATTCTTGTTAGACATTAGTGACAATTAAACAAGCACAGCAATAAGCGATTGTACTCCAGCAATAGACAGACGTAATTGCTAAATAACTTAGTCCCGTCGTACAGCAAGAATACCTGTTCTCCACTTACATTCCTTTTGAGGGGACACAACCTCTGCGACCTATTCAACAAACGTGATGAGGAAATACAGCCTAATGCCATAACCCCGTTTCTCCCTGCCACAATATGTTTATCAAATCACTGATTCTTAACACCAACGGTACTTACATACTCAAACTTGCACGGCACCTGTTGGGGAAATGGCTTACAGCAAAGTATTGCCAATTAGTTGTACTTTGCTTTGGAACGTTTTTCTGACGAATTTATACAGGAAGCGGTTATCATAAGCACCGCTTCTTGTACAAGTTCTCCTCCGCAAGGCATTGTGGCACCACTTTGGAAGAGTCTCACTTCAAGACAATTGCATCACATTCACTGTTTTCTTTGGCTGGGAGCGCCTGTCCACAGCTGCTTACATCCTGTTCGATGTCAACGGTGGCCCCCGCCTCGAGGAGCCGTTTCAACAAATGCAGCCGCCCATCCAGTGCACATTTGTGGAGGGCAGACCAGCCAGTCTGCACAGTACAGTCCAACAGTTTTTCAGAACAAAGTGGCAAAAGCACTGTAAAGTGCTGATCTTTGCACCATTTTTCCCAAAACAGGATACGTGACACGTATGTGGAACCCTTCAAAGTAAGGAGCACGGAAGCAACCTAGCAAACTACGGTCAAAAACGACAAACAACAGGTACCGTTGTGGGGAGGGTGGAAACGATACAACCATCATGCCAATGGCACATATCCCTGCTGAAGTGACAAAGTCAGTGAGAGCCCCAGGGAGTTCAGTGATGTTCATCAGCTATCAATACCAGTAGTAGTTTCAACAGTAGTACATACTAGTAATATTATCAATATCAATGTGCATATCAACGCATTGCCAGAGCTCGGCTACCCACCACCCCGGCCTACCACCTAACTCTCTTTATTCAATAGGTGTACTTCACTAAAATAGAGAATCCAATATTCAACAGAATATTGTCTGTCATGAGCCCTCTCTATTGGAAATGAAAGCAGACAAAGACACAGCCACATAAGTGGGGCAGCAGCAGCAAGGACTGGAATAGAATGCAAAACTCATCAAATTCTCCATTTGTGTTGTTCTTGTGCAATTGCACAATTGCCTCCATTTAAACTTGAAGCAAAAGAAGCAAACAGTAACAAAAATAAATCGAGCAACTACTGTCCAATCCCCAACATCCTGCAAAACAATTGTCACACAGCAGCAGTACATTATCAAAGCAACACAGTGGAAACATTGCGAACAGACTTGTGCACACGCATTGGCAAATCAGGCCAGCGCTCTATTCGACAACATTGACATGGCTGGAACCACCAGAACAAGCATTTCTCGTCCATTAGGGGATTCCAGTTCGCACGTCACCACACCTTGGTTTGGTGGTCCACCCGGGCCCCCCTCTGCAGCAAGAATTCCACAATGGCCACGTGATTTTCTTGACAGGCGATCATGAGAGCTGACCATCCATCCTAGCAGAACGAGCCAGACCGTGGCTGAAATCGCATCCTTTCAACAAAAATTTGTACAACACAGTACTATAATTACCAAGTCCTGTACCACATTTTCCAAATCAGTGCATGGCAATCTTCTAAATAGCCGAAGCGACTTCAGAAATCGCATCCAATGCGCATAAACAGTTACGTAAACCAGCGCCACCAATTCTTGTTTGGATCATACATCCCCACATGACAGAAAGCAAGTGCCCTTGCACCAAACTGGCGATGTCGAGCTGTCACTGGTAGATATCAACATTCTTGCGATGTGATCTGCAATACCATTTGACACTAATTGATGTCACTGCACCCACTTCTGTGCCATCGCAACCACCGAGATGGCACCACTTTGCATCAAAATGGCATCACAGTTGGCATCGCAAAGATGGTGTTTTCTGATAGCGTACGGTACCAGCAACATGTGTCAACTGTTACGCGCACCAGCCTGATGTGGGAGACGTCCTACTAATGGCCCTTGGTGTGGGGGACGCCCTGCCCAAGGCACATACTATTCCTCACCCAATGTAACCTTTATCCATATTAGGATACGGGAGTAGGAGGGGTGGTCCCGCCTAGGTGCCCTGTAAGGACCTAGGTGCCCGGCGAGGCGGGTCCGCGGCTCAAAGAGGGCAGGAACCCCACACCCACATCCTATTCGTAATATTTGGTTTCGGAGCCGCCTGAGGGTGGCGGCCACGCTTCCACCTGGGAGCGCGCGAGAGCACGAGACGCCGGAGCCCTTCCCCGGCCTCCTCCATGGAGGCTGAGGAATCGGAGGGACAAGCCCGGGATGGGCAGGGGGAAGGACAAGCCCGGGATGGGCAGGAGATCGATACACCCCGGGAGGGGACACCAACTTCGGTTGGTGAAGTTAAAGCCCGGGATGGGCAAGGAGGTGACAAAGTCCGGGAGGACACGGCTGGACCCTCCACAGCCACTCCGCCACCTGCAGAGGAAGATGAACCGATGGGGGAAGCGAGTGCCCCACCGGCGGCGGAGAAGAAACAAGAGCAAGAACAGGGGACCATGGCGGCGCTGCTGCAGACCCCTGGTATCATGGAGCTCTTGGAACAAGTGGCGGATGCTGCTGCCAAGAAGGCGAGAGCGAAGCGGGAGGAAGAGACCGCCGAGAGGATCGCCTCGCTGGAGATCGCCGTCAACAAGGCCAAGAAAGAAGCTCGAGAGAAAGAGCTGGCCATGAAGAAGGCGAAGCAGCAGAGCCGCGAGGCACAAGAAGCCAAAACCTCCGCCGAAGACCAGGTCAAGGCGTTGAGTGACCGCCTCCTGAAGCAAAAGCAGCGGGCCCAGGAGGCAGAAGATAGAAGCGCCCAACAGGTGGTGCCAGCTGTGAGGGCCCCCAGTCCGTCGGAGCTGCCCATGCCAACCATTCCAGAGGAAGACTGGAAGGTTGCTGGCAAGCAGCGCCCCAAGCGGAAGAGTCCATCGCCAGGTGAGCGGCCGATGGAAAGTGAGAAAGCTCCATATCAAGGCCGGGAGGCCAAAGCCTTAGGGCGAGTTGAGAGAATGCAAGGCCGGAAGGTCAAGATCCCGGAGCTACGGCTCAAATCCCAGGTGCATGTGAGAACACCTAGTGGATCGGACGGGACGGGAGATGAGTCGCTCACAGAAAGCGCTCAAGCTGTTTGCGGAAAAAGTCCGCCAAGGCCGGGAGGCCATAATTGGAGCCCTCGGAGGCCTGCGCTACCAGAATGGGGGCCGGGTGAAAGCTCAAGGGTGCCGGAGTTCGTTCCAGACACTCGAGATCCATATAGCCGGCAACCACCGTGCCGTGCAATGTGGACAAAGTTCCACAGTGATCTCGTCGATGAGCTTGACGAGGGATGGCGGATGGCCGCCGACCAGTTTGGAGAAAGGTTAACCACCGCCAGACTGGTTAGAATACAAAGGTGGTATGGTCCCGGAATGGCAGATCAAATTGCCAAAGAGGACCCAAATTGGCCAGAAAAGATGGCCTTTGCGCTCAGGCATATCCCGGAACCATGGGACTTGAGCGAGGGGAGTCCAGAGAGACCAGACCCTAATGATTCCCACGAGCGGTGGGAGGAGATCTCGGAATTGTCGTTCTCGTCATGTGCTTCTCCTTTGCCGGGTGATATGTCAACCCGTGCACAAGTGCATAGAATGGAAAAGGAGAGACGACGCATTCGGAACCGAGATCGGTTCGCTCGTGCCAAGAAACTAGATGAGCAAAAGGCCAGAAAGGCCAAACAGCGGAGAGAGTTGAAAGCGCTGCGACGTGAGCGGGATCGTCAATTGAATCCTGAAAAGTATGAGCGTAAGCGAGCTCACAAACGCCAGCGCAAAGCTGAGATCAAGCGGTTTTTCTCCGCAGGAGGCAGCCAAAAGGCGCAGCGCCTAGAGGTTAAGCCGCCGGCCGATGAGCTGGACCCGGCCGAGCAGGCCAAGGCCTTCGCCCGCATTGCCATGAAGGAGGGGACCTCCAAACGCTGGGCAGATCAGCAGGACAGTAGTGGCAGCGATAGTGGTGTAAACCGCCCTGCCCGCTTTGTCCCCACCCAACCGGAATAGGCATCGCCATCGGTTGTGGTGACCAGCGGTCCCAAGGCGGAGGGTACGCCAGGGAAGGAGTCCCAGCCTAGAGAAGCAAAGGCGAAAGAACAGCCTGATAAGGCAAAAGACTCGCCTGCAGAGGCGAGAGTACAGCCTAGAAAGGCAAAGGAGGAATCCAAAGGCCCGCAAAGGCCAGTTTCAGGTAATCATCCTGTTGAACTGTCTTTGCTGCGACCTGTTGTGAAGAATACACAGATGCGTAACCGTGCAGAAGTTGGTGATTCTGCTGGTAACGATGAGATTGTGTATCTCGGTTCAGCAGGTGAACCTGCCAGTCCAATTCCCCGGGAAAGGAGGGAGACCTATGAGATCCTGCAGAGACAGGAAGCTGCTTTGCAGAAAGCGAAAGCGAAAGCGGATGCAGAAAAAGCTGCACAGCTGCGCTCCATCATGGGAGATGAGGATTATGCAGCATTTCTGCAGCTTCAAGAAGCAAAGCAGATTTCTCATGGACGGCAGGAAATTGTCTACAAACCGGCGAAACCGGGGCCTGGATACCAGGAACGCCGCGCCCAGCAAATGGCGGCTGATCAAAGTGGACGTGCCAAGATGCCGCACGAGGCTGCAAAGCCCACCCCAGTGATGCGTGTCCCTGTCATACAGGACACGAGGGGCTTTGGGAATACGCTGGGTGCCTTTCATGACCCTCATGGAGGGGTATACTTTAAGGGGTATTATCATCCCCGTGGAGGCCATGCCCCGTACAGGGCCCAAGTCCCAAGGGACGCCCTCCAACGTATACCCGGGAAGCTGCGTGGCCTCTTTGATGCGCAGCAGACGGCACTGGGAATATATGTGCCAGAGGGTCAAGAAGTGGCCATGGAATGGCAGGCCATCCAGAGAACTGGCCGAAAAGTCCCTGAAGAGGGACCAGTGCAAATGCCCCCGGGACCATCGATGCAGGCAAGTCCCTCCACACCGGCTCGTCCAGTGGCTCAGCCAGAAATGGCGCCAAGACAGCCGGTGCGGCCTTATACAATGGGGCAGGCTGGACAGCGGACATCACAACCTCCTGTGCAAACGACGCAGCAAAAGATTCAAAGGCTGCAGGAGATGTCTTCATTTGCGCCGGAGTCAGCTGTGTATCCGCCAGTTCGGTATTATCAGCCAGGGATGGCGACACAGCCCGGGAGGGCATACCAACCCGGAAGGGTACCGCAGGCGGAGATCGCCCCAAGACAAGAGGAATACTCAACACCCGCTTACAGTGGATCATCCCATCCATCCGGATCGGGAGGTTACGAGAGGGTGTACAAGTACCCGCCCGGTCATTTCCAGACCCAGGAACCTCCACATGAGGAATTTCTGTTTGGGCTGGAGGGTGATCAGGCTGTTGAGCCACATCGGGCGGAAATGGGCCCTCCACCGCCTCCGGAGGGGTACAATCCCCAAGGGCCGGGTTATACCGGTCAAGCCTATTTGGCAGCGGCGCAGGAGATTCCATATGCGCCAGTTTATTACGAACCCGGAAGGGAAGCTCATGTGAGCATGAACATGCCTAAGATGAACAGTCAGGGCATGAAACCCCCAAAATGGAATGAAGATAAGCAGGCCTTAACCAAGTGGTTACAAGAAATCATCATGTATTTCAAAACCACTATGGCACCCCGGACACAATGGGGGTGGATAGCACTGAATACTCTGGAAGAGTCAGTGAAACACGGCCTACTAGCCCAGTTGGGACACATATGGGGGATAACAATTGATGCAGAAGTGCTCTCACAGCCAGACTTTCAACTGTCATGGGAACAGTTTAAGTATGGCATGGAGACACTTTATGATCATATATGTTCCGACTTCGAAATTCGGTCGGAAATAGCAGCCTTTACAAGGGCAGGGACCTCGGGTCCTGATACAATCAAATACATGCAGCTCTTGGAACAAATGTTTCTCAAGTGTGAGAACGAACTTGATGATTTTTCCAAGTTGCATGCATTGTATACTGGACTCCGTCCAGATATTAAGAGGAAATGCCTCTTAAATAAAGATGATGAGCAATGAACCACTTATGCCAGCCTGAGGGCGCATTTATATAAAGTGGGACCAACATATGACCAAGAATACAAGGCATATGGCTCTCGTCGCAATGAAAGCCGGGATGGCAAACCGCACACGAGTAATCGTCTTGCTCCTAACAGAGTTATTCAAAAATACCATGCATTGAAAGTGGATCGTCGTGGCAAACCAGTTTTGAATAACAGACCGAGAGGTCAAGGAGGGACGACTTACAAAAGTTCTCGTGTTGCTATGAAAATGCAGCCGCAGGCTTCGCATGGGGAGCGGAACTACGAGCCGCTGGCCGATATCCGCGACCCAATGGAAGAAAAGATGGTCACCAACAGCGCGCAATTACGCGACACAACGTTGGAAGTCTTGAAGCGGGC